TCATGCCATCTGGAGGCAGCCATAGTGCCCAGTAGAAGATTTTGATTCCCTCTGGTGGGGAGAGGCATGGTGCCACCCACATCAACCACACCTGGGGCAGAGGCCTGAGAGGAGAAGCCAGGACCCTGAGACTACTAACTCAGCCAGGGTCCCAGTTTGGGGGGGGGGCTACCAGCTGCAAAGGCTTCCAGAAAGGGAGTCACAGCCCTGGGTGGGGATAGGGCTGGCTGAGAAGCCTTTCTCACTCCACATCTGGTGTGGGGTCTTCTTTCTCATCCCGGAGCCTTTCCTGGCGGTGGTCTTCCCTGCCTGCGCAGGCCCAGTGCAGTGGGCAGGGGCCTGTGCTGCTGTCCTGGTCGCCTCGCACCGTCTCACCTGCAGCCTCTTTTTGTAGACACCCAACACCTTCGCAGTGTGCACGGAGCACCGCGGCATCCTGCTACAGGCCAACAGCGACAAGGACATGCATGACTGGCTGTATGCCTTCAACCCCCTCCTGGCTGGGACCATACGGTATGAAGCCTTGGCTGTGGGGCCGCCGCACTCACAGGGTCCTGACGTCCTTCTGGGTGTTAATGCTTGGTCCTGTATTATAGCTGCTCGTGAAGTTATAAATCTCAGATGGACATTCCAAGTTTGCGTTCGAGCTGGGTGGGCCTTGACACAGGGAGACTCTGCACAGGCAGGCTTGGGAGGGCCCCAGTCCTAGTCCTGGGATAAGAAACAGAGATTAATTACCTCCCTCTAGGTGGCGAGGGGACCAGAGGGGATACAGGATGTCTGTGGTGGGCCCCTCTCATGGCCTACTGTCCATGGGGGGGATGGGGGCTGTGGTCCTGACCACGCCTTTTCTGTTGACTGTCCACAGGTCCAAGCTGTCCCGAAGGAGGTCTGCCCAGATGAGGGTCTGAGCTGGATCCTCCATCCCCTGGACAGCCAGCAGGCCCGGCCCCCTCCCTCGTTCCCTCCTCGTCCTGTCATCTGCCTCTCAGCCCTTGCCCACCAGACAGCTCACGGCCATGTCTCCCCACCGGGGACATCTGTGCTGGGCCCGGGGACCTGCACCACATGATCAGTTGTATTCCTCGCAGAGGCTGTGTGAGGCGTCATTTCTTTCAAGACGTGTGCTGTGTGGGAAGAGCTGGGAAATGCTGGGAAGGCCAAAGGGCACAGGTCATGGGGGTTATCGCTGCCGTTCTAATATTTTTTTAAGCATAGACAGACTATAATTAATTAATTAATATACATTAGTTAGTAACATTGAAACAGTCCACTCAGAAATTAACTGTAAGACCATGTTCTATTTATAAGTATTTATTTCTAATGGCTCCACATAGACTTGTAAGATTTGGAGGGAACCCTCTCCCCACCCCGTTTGTGCCCTCATGCATCCCCTAAGCCTGTTGGCATAGACAGAGCGGAGCAGCTGCCTTTGAAGACCATGGTGAGGGAGTGACTGGTTGGCACACAGGGTACACCTGCCCAGGCCCTTGGCCCCCCCGATTGCATGGGAAGGCCCTCGTCCTGGGGCATGGGGGTCCGAGCAGATGGGAGATGGTATGAGTTATGTCTGGTAGGAGGTGGAATCTATGTCTCTCCAGGGAAGCCACCTGAGATGTGGCTTTCAGAGCAATGTCCACAGCTTCTCCCTGTACTCTGAGGCCTGTGCTGCGCAGGGACAGGAGGGAGAAGGGACAGGAGGGAGAAGGGTCAGGACCCCAGCTGGGCAGTGCAGGCTCATATACTGTCAGGGCAGATGGCTCTATTTAGGAACAGGAATGGCAGGGATGGTCGGAATTCAGGGTGACAGACTGGTTGCCGAGGGGCTCGGGGTACGGTCTCTCAGCTATGGTGAAATGGAGTGAGTTCAGGGTAGCTCTCGGGAAGAAATCCTGTGGTTAACACGTTTATAACAAAGACACTCTTCTCTTGGTTCCAAGGGGACAGAGTTTCTGTGAGTCCCAGTGAGAAAATTCTGGGTGAGTGGGGGTGTGTCCTGGTTAGGCAAGTTAGGGCAGCCAGTGAGGGGGTGATTGTCCTCAAGAAGCTCTTTTCTTCCACATCTGGAGGCGTCCCCTGTCCTGTTCTGTTCTGTCCCCTCTGTAGACCTTGATGACTGATGGGGGAAGGGCAGCATCAAGCCGAGAGTCTGGTCATAGGTCTGGTCTAGAGCCCCATTTGGTCTCTGTAGCTCAAGGAAAAACAGTAACCAAGCAACAAAACACCTCCCACCATAGCCCAGAAGGGCAGATTACATTCTGGGTCTGGATTCTGAGACCCCTACCTGTGCAGGGTAGACCCGAGTGGCACTGATATGACAGCTGGGCTCAGGAGCGAGGGTGAGTGTCCTCTTTATGCCAAGTGGGAAGGTTCCAGTGTAAGGGGGCTTTCTTTGGGAAAGCTGCTCAGGCCCTTTACTTTCACCTCAGACAGTGGCATGAAGGGCAAGCAGGCTGGAGCCCCTGCTGGCCTCAGTGTTTTACCTGCCAGCCGGGATGAGCCTGGCTGGAAGTTGAGGCTGAGCTTGCCATTTTATACCTAGGCTCAGGTGTGGTGTGTCAGAGGCCACCTTTGCCCACGGCCGCCCTTGTTCCCTGGAGCTGGAAGGATGGTCTTCCTAGGTTCTCATAGAGGACCTATAGGTATGA